CCGTGTGGGTCGTGTGCGTGTTTGTGTGTGCGTGTGTGTGTGTGTGTGTGTGTGTGTGTGTGTGTGTGTGTGTGTGTGGCGTGTGCGTGCGTGTGTGTGTGTGTGTGTGTGTGTGTGTGTGTGTGTGTGTGTGTGTGTGTGCGTGTTCGTGTGTGTGTGTGTGTTGTGAGGGCGACCGCTTCGCCGAATTCGGCTCCGCGCATTTGCCGCTCGTGGGGCGTGGGTAACGTTGTCGTCGTGCGCCGCGCGCGTCCTGGGAAACTGGATCCGTGTGCGCGCAAGTGTCGTTTGTCAGTACTCTAACAAGAGAGGGCACCCTCTTGTTCGCTCGCACGTGCGTGGTGGTTTCCATGGCGTCGTTCGCGTGGTATTTTTTCAGACAAGCGTTGCCAACGATTTATATATTGGCATTCGTGCTTGGACTGTGGACCACCTGCGAACTGGCGGTTGATTGTCTTTTTCCCCCAACCCATTTTTTCCAGGGACCTCTTGAGGTGAGTTTTCTTGGGGCGTCAAGTGGGGGTGTCAGGGGGCGTCTTTGGGGCTTCTGGGGGGTCTCCTGGGGGAACCTCGGGGGCCTCTGGATGGCCCTGTAGGGTTCTGGGAGCATCTCGGGGTGGGGGGCTCTCAAATGCCAGTGCGGGTTTCCCCCGGTGGGCCCCCCGTTGGGCCGTCATCGGGGGTTCTGGACCCCCCCCCTCTTGAGGGTTTTGCGCCGCTTCCGGGCGACCCTGGGAGCTTTGTGGGCCGTCACGGGCGCACTGTGCGCGGCAAACCCCGCCGCCGTGCCAACCCAAATTTCTAGTCAGCGGCTGTTCCGGGGGGGGGGCGAGAGGCCGTCACGTGTGACACCTCGTGCCCCCAAGTTTGAGACACGATGCCAAGAGTGATGCTGATGATGCTCATGATGATGATGATGATGATGATGATGATGATGATGATGATGATGATGATGATGATGATGATGATGATGCTGATGATGATGATGATGATGAGGATGATGATGATGACGGTGGGGGAAAGAGGAACAACAGGATGATGAGGATGAGGACGAGGATGAGGATGATAATGGGGACGAAACGAAGACGATGATGATGATGCTGATGACGATGATGGTGATGGTGGTGATGATGATGATGGTGATGAGGCTGGTGAGTGTGATGATGATCCATGATGTTGGTGGTGATAAAGATGTTGATGGTGACGGTGATGATGATGGTGATGCTGATGGTGTTGATGATGATGATGATGACTACGATGAGTTAGAGAACGTTCTGCCGTTGCTGGCGGAAAACAGGGGGGTGGGGTCACTGGGGGTTCCCAGCCGGTCCCCCCCCTTCGAAAACCGGGGGGGGGGTCACTACCGGTTCGAAACCCCTTTTTTTTGACCCCCCCGTCCACCATGATAAGAAGGGGGTCACTACTGGTTCGACCCACCCCCCCGTTCGCCGTTGGCAAACGATTCCCGCCCCCGGGACTGGGACAGTGGTGGGGACACTGGGACAATGGTGGGAACGGTGGTGGTGGGGACACTGGGTGTGGGAACAGTGGGACAGTGGTGGGGACAGTGGGACAGTGGTGGGGACGGTGGTGGTGGGGACTGGTGAGGGGACAGCGGGACAGTGGTGGGGACAGTGGGGACACTGGGATAGTGGTGGGGACGGTAGTTATGGGGACACTGGTGAAGGCGGTGGTGACGACGGTGGTGGGCAGTGTACAGTGGGGAGAATGGTGGGGACAGTGGGGACACTGTGACAGTGGTGGGGACACAGGGGACGGTGGGACAGCACAGTGGTACACCGGCGGGGACAGTAGGGACAGTGGGACAGTGGTGGGAACAGTGGGGACAGCGGGACGGTGGTGGGAACACTGGGGACAATGGGGAGACTGGGACCGCGGTGGGAACAATGGTGGGGACAGTGGGGACAGTGCGACAGTGGTGGGGGCATTGGTGGGGACATTGGGGACGGTGGTGGGAAAAGTGGGAACAGTGGTGGTGGGGACGGTGGTGCTGGGGACAGCGTTGGGGGAAGTGGTGCGGACGGTTTTCTGGAGAGGGGGGGTCTCGAGTCGATAGTGACAACCCCCGGGTTTTCTGAAGGGGGGGGAGGGTTCGAACCGGTAGTGACCCCCCCCGGTTTTCCAGGGGGGGGATAGTTGGGAGAGTGGGACCGTGGTGGGAACAGTGGTAGGGACAGGGGGGACAGTGCGACGGTGGTGGGGGCACTGGTGGGGACAATGGGGACGGTGGTGAGAAAAGTGGGACAGTGGTGGTGGGGACGGTGGTGCTGGGGACAGCGGTGGGGGATGTGGTGCGGACGTTGGTGGGGACCCGGGAGTTGTTTGCCGGCGGTGAGGCGGGGGGGGGATTCAAATTTGTAGTACCCCGGTTTTTTGGAGGGGGGGTGGGCTCGAACCGGTACTGATCCTCCCCGGTTTTCTGGAGGGGGGGGTTCGAACTGGTAGTGACCCCCTCTCGGTTTTCCAGAGGGGTGGTGGGGGTGGTGTTAGGGGGGGGGAGGGGTTTTGCCGGGGAGCGGGGGGGGGGAGGGGGGAGGGGGGATTCCAGCGGCGGGGGGGATTTTCGAAAGGGGGGGTGACCCCCGGGCTCTGGAGGAAGAGTGGGAGGAATTTTCCACAGTAAAACGGCGGTGGATCACGCTCTCCCTATGATGATGACGCTGGTGGTGATGATGATGATGATGATGATGCTGCTGCTGCTGCTGATGATGATGATGATGATGATGATGATGATGATGATGACGCTGATGATGATGATGATGATGATGATGATGATGATGATGATGATGATGATGATGATGCTGATGATGGTGATGATGATGACGATGATGATGATGATGATGATGATGATGATGATGGTGGTGGTGGTGGTGGTGGTGGTGATGATTGTGATTGTGGTGGTGCTGGTGATGCTGATCGTGGTGATGTGAGTGATGCTGATGACCTGACTGGGATTTTGGTGACGAGGAGAATGATGAGGAGGAGAGGAGGAGTAGTATGAGGAGCAGCACGAATAATGTCGCCACATGGGGCCGCTTTGGGGTCCTATGGGGCCGTCTTGGGACCCTCTTCGACCGTATTTGGGCTAAATGGGTCTTTTTTGGGCCCGCCTTGCGGTATGGGGAGGGGGTGTTTCGGGGCTGTCGTGGAGCCGCCTTAGCGCCGTCTTGGACCCTCAAAGGGCCTTTAAGTAACTGTGTCGTGGGTCATTCCATAGCCATAGGCCCTCTTGGGCCGTCTTGGGGCCGTCTTGGGCTGTTTTGGAGGCCTCTTGGGTCAACTTGGGACTCTCTTTGGGGCCTCTAGGGCCGTCTTGGGGCCATCTTGGAGACTCTTTGAACCGTCTTGACCTGACGGACGCCAAAACTTAGGAGAATCCGACATATTTTTCAAATTTTGAGGGCATCGCTTGTTGTCGCCTCGTCGGGTTCTGTTGGGGGTCCTCTTATGGCCCTCTTGGAGACGCCTTGGGCCGTTTTGAGGCCATCTTGGGCCGCCTGGGGGCCATTTTGGGCCATCTTGGAGGTATCTTCGGCCATACTGGCGGCCTTGGAAGCTCGGGAATGCAGATTCATTTTTTACGAGGGGTCTTTGCCCCGGAAGCACGAGCCGGCGGATCCGCCTTATTGAATCGCTTCGCTCATTCCGCCGGCCCATTTCGCATGACTGAGCCTCTTGGGGCCGCTGGGGGGCCTCTTCAGCGTCGCTTGGGGGCCTCCTGAGGGCCTCTTGGGGGCTTTTGGGGCCTCTCAGGGGCCTCTTGAGGCCTCCTGGGGGCTTCTTAAGGCCGAGGGCTCGAAGTTTTGTTTTGTGTTCCCCCTTTGGGGCATCGCTTGGGGCCCTCTTGGGCCCCTCTTGGGCCGTCTTGGATGCCTCTGGGGCCGTCTTGGAGCCCTCTTGGGCCATCTTGGGGCCTTCTTGGGAGCTTCTTGGGCCCTCTTGGGGCGATCTTGGGGGCCTCTTGGGCCGTCTTGGGGCGTCGGGAAGCCGAAAAGATGGACACGCCAAAATCTGCCCAAAACCTAAGGAAAAGTAATGAATTTTGCCTCTTGGGGCCCTCTGGGGAGTGCTCTTGGAGGCCTCTTGGGGCGTCTGGGGGCCATCTTGGGCGTCTTGGAACGATCGTGTGGCATCTCGGAGCACTCTTGAACCATCTTGGAGGGCTCTTGGCGGCCTCGTGGCCCTTCTTGGGGCTCTCTGGAGGGCCACGGGGGCGGCGCCCAGGAGGAAAACCATCTCTGATCCGACCCTGCCGGGGATCGCCCGGGGTACTTTTCGTCCGGGGACCCCCAGGGGCCGCCCCGCGCCCGCGAAATAGAAGTATTATTTAGCAGTTACTGGAGATCTTAGCACGCCTCTGGCCCGTTGGGCCGGCGAATTTGTACATCGCACCCCTCGCTTGATACTCATGATTTGGTTGGGTGTGCAGGTTGGGTTTGCTCATGGGTGCGTTCTGTGTGTGCTGGGGTTGCCACACCGACTCGCCCGCGTGCCATTTATGTCGAAAGGTTGATCCGCAAGGCGCACCAATATTTGATCCCACTTTATGCTTATGTAGTCTCTCATGAGCTAAACCTGCGCGTCATTTTTTCGGCGCCATGTAGAAAACGCGTCGTGTTCAGTACTGCGCTCATCAACCCTTTGTGCACACGTCTAAGCTGCTGGAGCATTCCGGCAGCGTTCGTTCGATGTTGGAACGACACCCGCGCCCGTTTCAATTCCCTCGGTTTGCATTTGCCCGAGGCTGCAGCGAAGGACGAAGGACGAGTGAGGGAGGAACGGGACGGGGAGGGGTGGAGGAAAGGGTGGGGAGAAAGGCGTGGAGGAGCAATGGTGGAAAGGGCGTGGAACGTGAGGGAAGGAGGGAGGGTTGGAGGGGGAGGGCAGGGAGAAGCTCCGTTTCTACTGGATTGCCCTCCCTGCGCTAATACCGTGCAGCAGCAGCCCGTTGGGGGGGGAGGGGCCGCCCCCTCTGCCAGGGCGGCTCGGCCCTGCTCGGGTACAAGCACCGCCACGCGGGAGGCGCGCGCGGCTGGGCTGTCAGTCTCGTGGCCCAGAGCTCCGTGGCTTGGTTCGGCTGCTCCCTGATGTGGAGGGCCTGCTCCCTCCCCTGCATCTCCATAGGCTTCATATGTTTTCTTGAGGGATTCCAGCAGCCTCTATATATGGGAAAGAGCGTGTTCTACCGCTGCTGGCGGAAAACCGGGGGGGGTCACTACCGGTTCGAACCCCTCCCCCCCCCCCCCCCCCCCTCCGGAAAACCGGGGGGGGTCACTACCGGTTCGAACCCCTCCCCCCCCCCCCCGCCCCCCCCTGCTCATCATGAAAAGGGGGGGGGGTCACTACCGGTTCGAACCCCTCCCCCCCCCCCCCCCCCCTCCGGATCCGGAAAACCGGGGGGCGTCACTACCGGTTCGAACCCCCCCCCCCCCCCTCGAAAACCGAGTGGGGGTGCTGACAGTGGTGGGGACGGTGTTGGTGGGGACAGTGGTGAGGGGATAGCGGGACAGTGGTGGGGACAGTGGGACAGTGGGACAGTGGTGGGGACGGTAGTGGTGGGGACAGTGGTGGGGACAATGGTGGGAACAGGGGGGGACAGTGGACAGTGGTGGTGACGGTGGTGGTGGGGACAGTGGTGTGGGGACAATGGGAATGAGGTGGAAACAGTGGGACAGTGGAGGGTACAATGGTGGTGGGGACAGTGGTGAAGGCGGTGGCGAGGACGGCGGTGGGACAATGGGACAGAGGTACAGTGGGGACAGTGGTGGGGACAGTGGGGACAGTGGTGGGAACAGTGGGACAGCTCAGTGGGACAGCGGAGGAGTCAGTGGGACAGTGGGGACAGTGGGGATAGTCGGGCAGTGGTTGGGGCCGTGGAGACAGTGGGGAGAGTGGAACCGTGGTGGGAACAGTTCTGGGGACAGCGGGGACAGTGCGACAGTGGTGGGGCCACTGGTGGGGACAGTAGGGGCGGTGGTGGAACCAGTGGGGACAGCGGTGGTGAGGACAGTGGTGCTGGGAACACCAGTGGGGGATGTGATGCGGACGGTGGTGGGGACCGGGAGTCGTTTGCTGGCGGTGAGTAGGGGGGGGGGGGGGGGGGGGGGGGGGGGGGGGGGTTCGAACCGGTAGTGGACCCCCCCCGCGTTTTTTTCGGATCCGGAGGGGGAGGGGGGGGGGGGGGGGGAGGGGTTCGAACCGGTAGTGACCCCCCCGGTTTTTAGAGCGGGAGGGGGGGGGGGGGGTGGGGGGGTGGGGGGGGGGGGGGGGGGAGGGGTTAGGGGGGAGGGAGGGGTTGCCAGGGGAAGGGGGGGGGGGGGGGGGGGGGGGGGGTGGGGGGGGGGGCGGGGGGTTCCAGCAGGGGGGGGGGGGGGGGGGGGTGGGGGGATTTTCGGAGGGGGGGGGGGGGGGCGACCCCGGGTTCCGGAGGAAAAGGTTGGCAATTTTCCACAGTAAAGCGGCGGTGGATCACGCTCTCTCATATATGGGAGTAGGATCGGGGTTGTCGGAGGTTGTGAGAAGACGGGTAGGTGGGGGTGGGGAGGAGGATAAGCAGGAGCAGGAGCAGGAGGAGGAGGAGGAGGAGGAGGAGGAGGAGGAGGAGGAGGAGGAGGAACAAGACACGAGTAATTCCAGGCTGCGTCAATGCTGTGCAATAGACCCTCCCGTCCCAATGTCGATCGTCACGAGGCATGGCAAGCTGTCCGCTTCAATAAGGGAAGAGCCTCTGTGAAAGACGACTGCCCAATGGGTCCGTCGTTCAGACAACAATCCAGTTTCGAACATATGTTACGTTACGTCCTCTACGCTGTATGGGATGCGAGCGGAGCGTGGTGCTCCGATTCCATGAATTGTACAGCGGTATCACCGTCGTGAAAAAAAAACAGCCCTGCACCCGTGTTATACATTTACATTTTCCAACACTTCTGGCCATGTCTTTTGGGAACTCTCAGGCGAGCGCCCGTTTTGAACACGTGCGGCACTGCATCTTTGGAATTGTTCTGCAATGGTCCACATCTAGTCATGAATTCGGAGTAGGTCTCAAACGGAATCTCTATTTTGAAACGGAACCACCTTCCATTCGTGCAGGCTTTGTACGATCGGAAAACAATTTCAAGCGAAAACCCAATTTTGAAAGGAACCGCGTTCTTATTGTTGGAAGCTCTTGATGCGAATCTAAGCGGCGTTGTGGTAAGAGCCACGTGCTGCGCAACAGCCGCTCACCCCCTTAACAGTTGTTTGTTTCTGATTCTAAGACGACTGCGCGCGGTGCCATAGCGACATCAATATTTTGAGCACTACCAGCCTTCCATCTTTGTAGCTGGTAGAAGCTTTTGCGACGAATGTGTGCGGCGCTGATGCGAGAGCCACATCTTGAAAATGACTCGCCCTCCAGCCCTGAAACTGTTCGAGCTTTCGACCTTCAGGGTCATGAGTTGTTAGAGAGTCTCATGCGGAATGCTTACCGACGCGTCTGCTTGTACGACGAGGAGGAGTTATCTGTAGGAAGTGGGATGGAGGTGGAGTTGAAGGAGAAGGAGGAGGAGAGGGAGCGTGAGGGGGAGGGAGGACGAAGAGGTTGGTCAGGCGATGTATGATTGCCTCCTTTCCACTTCTCCTGTTTCATCCCCTCTTGTTCCTTATCCTCCCCTTTCTCACTCCCCCACCTTCACGTCCTCCGCCTCCTCCTCATCTGCCTCCTCCTCCTCCTCCGCCTCCTCCTCCTCCTCCTCTTCCTCTCAGTGTGAGATGAATCAGTCATTTGGACTTCGGCGCATTCCTCATTGGTCTCTTCTCCTCTCTCCTCTCTCCTCTCCCTCCTCCTCCTCTTCCTCCCCCTACTCCCTTTCTCCTAAGGTCTTGAACGCCCCAGCCCGAGCAAGAAGCTTCTTGTCCGTTACCCCACAAGGTGTCTCCAAGGGCTTGACATATGAATTCAACACCACCCCCCACCCCCCCTTCCTCTTACTCGCCATCTCTCCCGCTAGTCCCCGGCCCGGCTCCTCCCCCGCTGCCTCTTCCTCCGCCCCTCACGCTGCCATCTCCCTCGCCCTCCTCCCCCTCGCCCTTCCTGCTCGAGCCTCCGCTGGCACCAACCCACGGCCAGGCGCCGTCAACACTGGCGCCGGCATCCAGGGCCTCATCCGAGCCTACCAGGTGCAGGGCCACAAGGCTCGGGGCCGAGCGCGCGCGCGCGCGCTCCGTGCTGTGGTTGCACCGGCGTCCCTGGCTGAGCGCGGCAGCTTCGCGCGGCCTCGTCGCGGCGGCGACGCCCGCGCGGGCGTTCGGGATTGCCCTGGCGCGAAGTCCACTCGGAGCATCAGTTTGAGAGTCGTCCGGGACCAGGACGGGGAGTTCGTTCAGGGTTGAGCGGTTCACGCGGTGTCAGACTCCAGGGCCCGAGCCATCATGGCGGGAAGCTGCCGTACGCAGACGACTGCATGGCACAGTTCCTGACGCTTCGCGTAGACATTCCACTGGCCCGCCCAGGAACTGCTCCCAGGAGGGAAGTGGAGGAGCATACGCAAAATACACAGTGGTACACCAGTCACACCAGAGAAGGTGGCAGCCTCAGCAGTCCTTCAAGTGGCAAACTTGGGGCCCTCTTGAGGCGTCTTGGAGCTATTTTGGGGCTTGCTTACGTTTTATTTTTCTGGAGCTTTTTGGGCCCCCTCTTCGGGGATCTTTCCTGGCGGTGCAGCGTCGGGCCTCCGTATTCTTCCCGCGCCTGGCCCAAAGCTTGGCCTCTCTCGGCATTGCGGCGCCGTGATCTCTTCGGCGCCAGAGCAGAAAGTTTCGCCTGCCTGGAACCGGATCCTCCGTGCAGGCTTCCGAGACGGTCTCTCGGAAGGCAGGAGGACTTCCAGAATACGTCCCTTTCGCCTCGCCCATCCCTGTGCGCCGCTGATGCGCGCCCCACATAGGGCCTCCGAGCCTGGCTGGAGGCCCTCTCCCCCTGGGCCCAGATGGCGGCCGCCTCGGCGCGCCGGGCAATGGTGCTGGAAAAACCCTCGAGACCCTGCCGCTTTCCTGCCTTGCGCCTCCGGCCGGAGCAGTGGGATGCGGCCACAGGTCTCGGCGTCGGGGGCGGCCCCGAGCCTCGGGTCGGACGATGGGGGAAGGGCTGGAGGCGGGGGAAGGGCGAATGGGGGGGGGGGTCGGAGGGCACCAGTTGTACGCCTGCACCGATCGATCCTGGCCAGGCCGACCCTGGGCCTGGGATCGGTGTATGAGTGCCTGCCTGCCCGAGCCAGGAGGGCGTACAGTCGCACCGACCCCGGGCCCAGCACAAGCCTGGGCCAGGATCGGTGCAGGTGCATCGTTGGCGGCCTCCTGGAGTGCCCCGCCGGCGGGCGCCTTCCTCGGGAGGTGGGGCCTCTGGCGCAGGGGGGCGCTAGGAAATCCCGCCGCCCGAGCTGATTCGCCAGCCCCCCTCTTCATCAGGAGGGGGAACAAAAACACACACAGACACAATGCATCGTCGATCCCCAGCAAGAGATGGGGATCAATATATATATATATATATATATATATATATATATAGATATGTATGCCAGTTTTGAAACGTGAAGCGGAGCCTGGTGGAGAGAGAGCGCCGCACTCATCTGTGCCTGCCCCGCTGGCATCGGGCTCAAAGTGCAAGCCGACGGCACTTCGATGGCCTTCGCCGCATGGCTGGCGGGCGAGGCGGTGCACGGCGCTGGGCAGGCAGCGCTGCTGTGGGCGGCTCGCGGTGAGTGCCCGGCCTGCACGTGTGCGCCGGCCATCACTTGCGCCCCGGGCCAGGAGGCGGCGCGCCTGGACTGCCCGGGCGGAGCCCCGGGGTGGGCGCTGTCAGCGGTGGCCCTCGCTGGCGTGACCGGCTTGGCTGGGGGTCTCCTGGCCGCGCGGTGGCTGGGGGCCTGGCAGCCGATCGCTGGCCCCCCGCCTAAGCCGTCTTTGGAGGAGGAGGCTAGAGCGCAGGCTGCCATAGCCAGAGCGCGGGCCTCCGCTTCGTGATGGCCAGCTCAGCAGCCGCGGCGGCGGCAAGTGGACACCCGCTGGCCTTGGAGGGGCTCGACGAGGGCGATTTCATCCATGTGCTGTATCGCGTTGGAGGCGCTCGGATCTGGCACGAGCGTTTGATCCTGGCTTTTCAGACGGTGCCGCCTTTCGGGACAGGGATCATGACTCCAGATGGTCACGCGTATGTGGAGGCCATCATGCAGAACGGTGCGGACATCAGGGAGTACGCGATCCCCGCCGGCGCCTCAGCCGGCGCCGTGGCGGCCGCCTCAGCTGGTGACCAGGTCTACCGCTTCCGCGGTCTCCCTCTTCCTGGTGATGTCGCGACAGGTGCCGCCTCTGTTCGAGGCACTCTTGGGCTGGGCGCGGGGCCGCCGATCGCGCTGAACACGGCAGGGCGTGTCATCGCGGCCGTGGTCGGCGCTCCGGCTGGCGCTGGGCCTGCGGGGGCCCCCGCTGCTGGCGAGGCCGGCGGCGCTCCTGGGGCTCTGGGCGGTCAGGCAGGGCTAGCCGCAGCCCTTGGGGGCGGCCCCGTGGCCGCGCCAGCGGGCGCAGCCGCCCTTGTACCAGTGGCGGCAGCGCCTGCACCTGCGGCGGGAGGTGCTCCAGTTGGCGCGCCTTTTGGCGGAGGAGGGGCGCCCCCAGCTGCTCCAGGCGCTCTCGGCGGCGCCGCCGTGGCCGTGCCTGCACCTGGGCCTGCCGCCGCCCCTGCGCCCGCTGTGTGTGGTGGCCCTGGTCCTGGTGGAGTGGCCGCAGCATTGGCCGCCATCGCAGGCGCTCCTGGGGGCGACGCTCGGATTCAGTCGGCGGCTTTCGACACGCAGGGAGTGAGGTACGTGGACTTTCGAGCTGCCGTGGTTCGCCTTCACGAGCTACCTTGGGGCGACTGGCCCCTCAAGGGGCCCCGCGCGCTGTTATGGGTGCTGAACTTCATCTGCCGCAATGGGGGGGCTCCCCTTGGCAGGCGCGCGAAGTGGGTCTCGGAGGGGTACCTTGAGGCGGACGATCCTGGGGTCGATGCCCACTTGCTGTGCTGCCGCCTCCTCGAGCTGGGCGTGGTCTACGATCAGCTCCACGTGACTAATATCGCTGCCATGGAGTTGGTCGGTCGGACTCTCCAGACCCAGGAGGAGCTGTGCCGAGACAGGTTCGCCGCTGCCTCGGAGTTCGGCTCAGACGCCGCTCTGATGTCGGGTGCTCTGGACGCAGGCGGGAACGTGTGCGTGGCGCCGGCTCTGAGGGACTGGCTGGCCGCGGAGAAGGCACGCGAGGCCAACATAGCCAAGGAGCGGCGCAAGGCGCGCGAGGAGCGGCTCCTCGCAGCTGGCGGCAGCTCTGGCGGCGGGGGCGGCAGCGATGGCCGAGGCCGAGGCCGCGGCCGCGGCCGCGGGCGCAGCAGAGACGGCGGGAGGGGCGGCCGCGCAGCCCCAGACAGCAATGGCTGAGAAGCACCAGGGGGGGCATTTGGGCCAGCCTCTCCCTGGGGCAGGAGTGCGGCTTCGGCCGCAGGCCCGGGCGCGCGTGGAGGACCCCGTCACCGTGACGTCTTCCCGCTGCCGATCCCCGCTGGTGCTGCTCGCCCACCCTCAGCGCCAGGAAGTCGCCGCTCGGCTAGGCGTGCTGGGTATCGCCTTCATCGTGAGGATAGGGTTCGCTCGGCCGCCAACGCACTTAATTCACTTTATGGTTCTCGGTCCTCGCCTCCAGCTGTGGCCCACGAGGGGCAGCGCCAGGCCATCATGCACATCTCGGACAGCATCGACGAGCTTGGGCGCCCGCCGTCAGAGTTCATGTCTGGTAACGCTGCCGAAGACGGAGCCCTCAGGGAGCTCCTCTCCTGCGCCAACCTGTACGGGTCTGGCGCCGCGACGTCGGCCCCCTACGTCAGCGACAAAGTCGCATGGCCCGCCGCAGGTGGGGCTCCAGTTGACATCATCGAGCTGGTGCCGCCTGTGGATAAGGTCTGGCTGGAGGGTTGGCGGAGTCATATGCTTCGAGATCCGCGTGCTGCTGCTGCTCTGGCTAGGGAGGCATGCCCGAAGGGGCCTTTTTGCGATCCCGCCCTGACGCGCGACGTGAGCACGTACGGTCGTTTTTTGATCCAGATGTACGAGAGGCAGATGGTCAACTTCGCGGCGGACTCCGGCCAGCCGCGCACCGTCGGCCTCTTCTTCGTTCCCAAGAAGACGGGGGCCCTCCGCATCATCTTCGATACGAGGGCCGCCAACTGCAAGTTTTTAGATGCGCCCAGCACTCGGCTACCTTCGGCCTCGGCTTTCAGTTCGATCGAGGCGCCGATCGAAGGCATGTACATGTCGACCTGCGACCTGGAGTGTGCTTTCTACCACATGAGGCTCCCAGCGGGCATGGAAGTGATGTTCACGTTGCCGCCGATCAAGGCGGGGGTGCTGCAGGAGCTCGGCCTCATCGACCTCGATTTCGACCCGTGGGTGTCGCTCTCGCCCCAGGTCCTTGTGCTTCCCATGGGCTTTTCGTGGGCGCTGCATCTTTGTCGGGCTGCTGCTCGCACTGTGCTTTCGGACGACGGCCACTCTCTGGATCAGACCGCTCTGGATGGTCATCCTGGGGTTAACGTTGTCGAGAAGAGTGCCGTGGGGGTGGCCGCCTACGTCGATAACATCCCCGTCTTCGGCGGCAGCAAGTCCTTGGTGGATCAGACTATGGCCAGGCTGGTGAGCACCTTCAGGAGTCGCGGACTCCCAGTTCACGAGATCGAGCCCGCTGCTTTGGATGCCGACTTCCTGGGCCTCAGCCTCCGCGGTGGAAGATATCTTCGCATCAGGCCTCGTAACATCTGGAGACTTCGTTTCGCGATTTCCAGCTTGTTAAGGCGTGGATGGTGCTCAGGCCACATGCTTCGGGCGGTGCTTGGTCACATCACGTGGGCGTCTATGATCCGCAGAGAGGTGCTCACCGTGCTTCACAGCTCCTATGGCTACGTCGGTGCTTTCGGCCCGAGGCACGGCAAGCTTTGGCCATCAGTGATCAAGGAGCTCATTATCATTAGAGATTTGCTCCCGATTTTGACTTGCGACCTGTCCGCAGAGTGGCGCACCGTGATGACGGCCAGCGACGCCTCTCCCTTTGGCCTCGGCGTCATGCGACGTCGGGCGCCTGCTGCCACTTGTGCTGCTGTTGGGCGGTACTCGGAGCGGTGGCGCTACAAGGTCGAGGGCGGGCACCAGGCTCGCGTTCGGTCGCTCAAGGCAGGAGAACTGGTGGCCGACGAGGGGCCAGGCGAAAACAGACAAAGTCCGCCCTCTCTCTCTCTCTCTCTCTCCATCTCTCATGCCAAGATCCGACGGTAACTGGGGCTACTCTGTGGAGCACCTGGGCAGCTTGGGGAGTCACGCGTTGAAGAATCCAGAGGACATCCAGGAGGCCAACACCTTGGGCGTCTACGGTAAGGACTTGGGCGTCCCGGTGGAACTCAACATGACCGAGGCCCTGAGGTTCAGCGCGGACCCTTGGGAGCTCGACGAGGCACCTGGGCACATTACGCGCAATGAAGCCTGGAAGAGTGTCAGTGCACAGTCGGTGTCTCTGGGAGCCAATATTCTTTACCTGGAGGGCGAGGCCTGAGTCACGTCTTATCGGCACCTTCTTCGTAACTTGGGCTGTCACGGCAAGCGCATGGTAGCCTTAGTCGACAATTTGCCTTCGGCGCTTTCTTGTGCAAAGGGGAGAGCCCGCTCGAGTTTCTTGAGGTCATGTCTCAACCAGTTGTGCTGTCTGTCGTTAGCCACAGGCTCGAGGCTTTGTGTGCGCTGGATCGCTTCAGAAAGGAACCCATCAGACTCGCTCAGCCGTGGGAAGCTGGGCTGGTTCAGCGGGCACCGTCATCTGAGTGATGCTCGGACGCATGGCCGGCGGCTGCGTCGCCCTCTTCGCCCTGCTCTGGCTGATCACGAGGGCGGAGGCGATGCCGCGACGGGGATCGCGCGCCCCTTCTGCCTTGACGAGACCGCGCCCGTCTGGCTGCCAAGGCCGCGGGCGGGCGCACCAGTACTTTGGCCATGAGCCTGTTGGAGCAGCTGGCGGTGAGACCGAACACAGAGGCCTTCTACCGGCAGCTACTACACAGTTTCGTGAGCTACTGTGCGGACCACCACCTGGACTGGAGCATTTTGGGCCAGTTGGACTCGATCCTGGCGGAGTACTTCACCACGCGCTACCTGGAGGGAGCCGCTGCGAACGTCGGGTCCCAGACGATAGCAGCCATCTCGCATTTTACCCCAGGACTCCCGAGACAGATGGGCACCAAGCTGCCGAGGGCCTCTCGTGCTATGCAGGCTTGGAAGCGGCGCCCGCCCGCTTTGACCAGGCTCCCGATCCCCCGGGCTGTGATGTTTGCCCTGTGTGGGATGCTGATCGCCTGGCAGCAGCCTCAGATGGCAGCTTGGTTGGCCATCAGCTTCTCGGCGTACCTCCGACCTGCCGAGGCACAGAGGCTGACGACCGACAGCATCGTGCAGCCGTCGATAGGCGCGGGCGCCGCGTATCAGTCCTGGGGCCTCCTGCTGCGCCCCGCAGACCGCGGCCAGGGTGGGAAGACGGGGTCGTTCGACGAGTCGATCTTCTTCGATCTCGATTTGTACCTCGTGCCGGTCCTCATGGCTCTCCGCCTGAAGGGGCCTGCCGCGACGCCTCTGTGGGGTTTCAGTCTGGGCCAGCTGAACCAGATGTTCACTCTTGCTGCAACGGCCCTGGGCATCAACCACCTGCGCCCCCGCTTGTACGGGATGGGGCATGGCGGAGTGAGCGACGACCTCTTGACGCAGAGGCGATCGATGGAACAGGTGTTCCGCAGGGGCCGCTGGGCCGTCATGTCGTCGATGCGGCGCTACGCGAAGGAGACGGCTCTTCTGCGCGAGCTTCAGGGCGTGGCGGAGGACGTGTGCGCGCTCGGCCACCTCGTGGAAGGGCGATTTTGCGAGCTGCTGGAGATGGGCTTCGCCAGGGGCGGATGCCTCGCCCAGGTGCCCTCCCGGCTAGCGGGGGCGATGCAGCTGGGCGCCCCAGCGCGCGGCAGGCGGGCTCGGAGGAGGCCCGCAGCTGCGGAGCAGTGAGTGCTACGGGCGGTTCCGTCCGACAGCACCTGAGGCGGCGGTTCAAGGAGGCAGTGCAGCGGGGCTCGCTTTGTCGCAGGCGCGTTGTGTTAGAGCTGTTCAGCGGTTCGGGCCACCTCGCCGCCGCAGTGCGCCGACTCGGCCTCTCGGGTCTGGGGCTCGACATCAGGCACGGGCCTCTCGAGGACCACCTCAATGCCACTTTTGAGGAGGTCATCGTCGGATGGCTTTGTAGCCACGCAGTCGCCGCTGTCTTTCTAGGGGCGCCCTGCGCCACCTGGTCGCGGGCTCTCAGGAGACCCCTGAGATCTCGCGGCCACCCCATGGGCCTCCATCAGTTGAGCACCTCCGAGGGAGCCCGCTTACAGCAGGGCAACGCTTCTTTTGCTTTCACGTGCCGCATCATCAGACTGTGCACTCGTCTTGGGATTCCTGTGATGCTGGAGAATCCAGCGGGCTCTTTGATGTGGTATGCGCGTTCGCTGTCTCGGCTCGTTCACTTGCCTTGTGCACGTAGTTGTGATCTTGACCAGTGCCAGTATGGTACTCTTTGGCGAAAGCGCACGAGGATCGTCTCGTGGCACGCTGGCCCTATAGAGTCCTTATGCCGCGTGTGCCAAGGGAGACGCGGGCTGTGCTCACGCACTGCCAACAAGCATGTAATTCTGTCTGGCCAAAGCCCTGCAGGTTGTAAGTGCACAGCCCTCGCAGCTGCAAATCCAGCTGCCCTTGCCAATGCTCTCGCTAATGTAATCAAGCGCGCTGTGCTCAAGGCGCCACAGCAAGCGATGGCTAGTCTGGTCAGCAAGTAGCGTGTCTCCGAGACTTCGCGCCTCAGCATCGAAGTGCCTTTTTACTTTTCGGCCGCCTCTGCCACTCTGTCAGGTGCGGCCAGAGCTTCCTTTGGGGTTCGGGAACTCCCCTTCTGGTCGGACCTCTGTGCAGTCTGCTCCGTCGCCCAGCTGCTCGCCGGGAGATCATCTCGTGGCAGGCTTTACTGCCCTAGCCTGGCTCGCGCTCGACACATACAGTACAAAAAAGTGACAGAGCCCCATCAGTCCTCAGGCCCTTTAAGAGGCTCGGAAGGTCTTTGTTCTGGTCCAGCTCTGGCGCTCGGGATCCTCGAGGCGGGCTGTCCAGTTTTGAAACGTGAAGCGGGGCCTGGTGGAGAGAGAGCGCCGCGCTCATCTGTGCCTGCCCCGCTGGCATCGGGCTCAAAGTGCACCCACCCACGTGCCGCCCTGGCTCTTTTCTCGCCCGTATATATAACTTGCTGCTTTTCTCGGGGAACTCCCCTTCTGGTCGGACCTCTGTGCAGTCTGCTCCGTCGCCCAGCTGCTCGCCGGGATATCATGTCGTGGCAGGCTTTACTGCCCTAGCCTGGCTCGCGCTCGACACATACAGTACAAAAAAGTGACAGAGCCCCATCAGTCCTCAGGCCCCTCAAGAGGCTCGGAAGGTCTTTGTTCTGGTCCAGCTCTGGCGCTCGGGATCCTCGAGGCGGGCTATATATATATATATATATATATGGGAGGTGGAGGGGAAAACGAGAACCCAGAAACTATATGCGAATATGGAGAATCCTGGGATTCGTGTGTGTCTTTCTTGGTGTGTCCCTGGGCCCCCTTCCCCTTCCCCCCCGGGGTTCTCGGCGGGCGCGCCCCGCCGGCAGCGGCGGGCAGCTGCAGAGCTCGCATTGTCATCTTCGAGGCCACGGCGCCCGCACGCCACGCCTCCAGGGGCCCGGGCGGGCGCCCTGCTGGCGTTATGTCGGGCGTGTCCCCCTTCAGGGGGATTTTCGACGAAAAATCAAAAATACCCCAACAAAGCACCAAAAAGGTTAAAGAAAAATTCAAAAAAATAGTCACCAGATGATTTTTGGAGCATTTTTGGATTATTTTTGGGGTATTTTTTTTTGTTTCGTCGAAAATCCCCCTGTAGGGGGACAGGCCCGACTTACTGCTGGCGGAGCGCGCGCGACTCCGGCGCTCCCTCCGCTCCGCTTCCCGCCTCCTCTCGCCCCGCTTCCTGCAGTGGGCCTGCCGCCGCCGCGCTCCGCGGGTCTGGGGCGCCCCGGGCTCCCGCCTGGCCTCCCTGCGCCCCGCGCGCTCTCCGGTGCTGCTCGTCGGGCCCGGGCTGCCTCCGCGAGGGCAGGCGGCCTCGCGGCGAGCTGAAGCAGCGCGTCGCCTCCTCCCGCCCCGCCTGCTCCGCCGCCGCCGCCGCCCTCGCGCTCCCCTTCTCCGTCTTCCCTCTGCCTTGGCCCTCGTCCTCGTCTTCTTCCTCGTCGCGGTCGTGTCGTTTTCCTCGTTCATCACCCGGCCAGGCGGCCAACGTGGACCCCCTGGGCTTGCACCAGTGGCGCATCTGGGAGAAGTCGATGTATCCGAGGTCCCAAAGCCCTGTGGTTAGCATCCCCGAGCTTGACCCTAAGTTCCACGGCTTCACCGAGGCTTCGGAGGATGAGGAGGATGGGGAGGAAGAGCCAGTGAAGGAGGAGGCGGATGATGATGATGATGATGATGATGATGATGATGATGATGATGATGATGATGATGATGATGATGATGATGATGATGATGATGGATGAGAACCCAGATAAAAGTAGTGGTATACATATGAACAATCGTGGTAATGGTAGTACTGGTGATATTGATGTTTTGGAGCTGTTGCTGCTGCTGATGATGTGGAGGAATAGAAGGACACTGCTGCTGATGATACCGAACTGGAGGAGGTGGATGATGCTGCTGCTGATGATTATGCTGATGATGATGATGCTGATGCTGCTGCTGATGATGAGGATGATGACAATGACGACGATGGATGACGATGATGACGACGACGATGATGATGATGATGATGATGATGATGATGATGATGATGATGATGAGGATGAGGATGAGGATGATGATGAGGATGATGATGATGATGATGATGATGATGATGATGATGATGATGATGTTGGTGAAACTGATGATGCTGATGATGGTGATGCTGGTGACAATGATGATGATGCTGATGATGCTGATGCTGATGACGATGATGATGCTGATAATGATGACGATGATGATGATGCTGATGATGATGATGATGCTGATGATGATGATGCTGATGATGGTGATGATGATGCTGATGATGCTGATGATGCTGATGTTGATGATGACGATCATGATGATGCTGATGATGATGACTATGCTGCTGCTGATGAAGATGACGATGCTGATGCTGATGCTGATGCTGCTGCTGATGATGCTGATGATGATGACGATGACGATGACGATGATGATGATGATGATGATGATGATGGTGATGATGATGATGCTGATAATGCTGATGATGCTGATGATGATGATGGTGATGCTGCTGCTGATGATGCTGATGCTGATGATGAGGATGATGCTGCTGCTGATGATGATGATGATGATGATGATGCTGATGACGACGATGATTATGATGCTGATGATACCAATGATGTTGGTGATGCTGATCATGCTGATGTTGATGACGATGATATGTTGATGATGGTGGTGCTGATGGTGATGGCGACGATGCTGCTGCTGATGGTGAGGATGAGTGGTGGTGATGACGCTGATGATGATGCTGATTATTCTCATGATGATGCTGCTGATGACGATGTTGATGATGATGCTGCTGTTGCTGATGAGGCGATGATGATGATGATGATGATGATGATGATGAGGATGAGGATGAGGATGAGGATGAGGATGAGGATGATGATGATGATGATGATGATGATGATGATGATGATGATGATGATGATGATGATGATGATGAGGACGAGGATGAGGATGAGGATGAGGAGAAGGAGGAGGATGAGGAGGAGGAGGAGGAGATTATGAAGCCGCAATCTGAGGAGGAGGAGGAAGCGGAGGTGGAGTTGGGGGAGCTGGAGGAGGAGGAGGAGGTGGAGGAGGAGGAGGAGGAGGAGGAGGAGGAGGAGGGAAGGAGGAGGGAGCGATGGAGGACCGATAAGGATGAAGAGTGACTGGAGGAGAAAGGAGGAGGAGGAACAGGAGGATGAGGAGGAGGAGGGGGAGGAGGAGGAGAAGGAAAAAGAAGACGCCTAATATTAAGACGACGACGAAGACGTCGAGTACTAATATGCATACTAATAGTAAGCATAATCATATTAATACTAAGAATAACACTAATAACCAAGATACGAATGCAAAACATAAGAGAAAGAAGGAGAGGAACGAGAGGACTACTAAGACGATTCATACTACGAATAATGATAAGAAGGCGAGGAGGAGGAGTACTAAGACGACTACTCATACAACTCAGAAGACTGACACGAAGGTATGACTAATGAGCAGATGCGTGTAAGAAGAATAGTAGTAACCATACAACGAATACTCATAGTCATGATAATAATACTAACAATAAGAAGAAGGAGTCGAGCAACAACAACACCTGTACCAGTGCTACTAATAATAATAGTAGTTAACCATGATAAAGAATAATATTATGAATCGTAATAATATCAATAAGAGGAGGAGGAGGGGGAGGAGGAGGAAGAGGAGGAGGAGGAGGAGGTGGGGGAGGAGGAGGAGGAGGAGGAGGAGTCGGAGAAGGAGGAAGAGGAGGAGGAGCAAGAGCAGGAGCAGGAGGAGGAGTAGGAGGAGGAGGAGGAGGAGGAGCTGGAGGAGGGAGGAGGGACAGTAGGAGGATGACCTGCGTAAACCAGGGATGCATGAGTGATGCTGCAATGCATCCTCCTGCCCCAAGCCTGCTTCTCAGGCGAGAGCCCCGTTTTGAGAAGGAACTGTCTTGCATCCTCCGAGTGTAGCTCCAGGGAGAGCGAACAGACATCATCATCACATTCAACCAGGTGTCCAGCGAGAGCCCCGTTTTGAAGATGGGCTGTCCCCCGTGCGTGTAGCCGTTGCACAAGTGTGCACAGCTGATGCTTCAGTTTGAGCAAGCCTCGAACGATAATCATACCTCGGAGTGATCTTGCCACCCTGCGTCCGTACATCTGCTACACCTTTTCAAGCTTCTGGTCGTTGCTCTTGAAGGCAGTCTCAAACGAGAACTACGTTCCGAAAACCAGACACCCTCCAAGCTCTTCAGAGTAATGTTCGCGGAGATAAGGCCAGGGCCCCAGAAATCGTACCGCCATCATCCTTGCAGCTGTTGCAGACTTTTGGGACGACTGCGCGGGGAAAGGCGACAGCCCCATTGTGAAAAGGACCTGTGCTCCAAGCTTGTGGCTCTTGCATTTTTCCATGCCGAGTGTGCGCGGCTCTTAGGCGGGAGCCCCATTTTGGAAAAGGTTCTGTCCTCCACCCGTGCAGATGCTGCATATGCCAGGCTTCAGGATCACAAGCGGTGAGGAAGTCTCAGGCGAAACGCCTGGGCCGCCCCATCAATACGCCTCTACGTGCGACAGCAAGGAGCTATCTGTAAGGACAGGGGGTGCAGGCATCGATAGTGAGTAAGACGGGAGGGGGCGGAAAGTGGAGGGGCTTCGGCGGATGATGATGATGATGATGATGATGATGATGATGATGATGATGAGGAGGAGGAGGAGGAGGAGGAGGAGGAGGAGGAGGAGGAGGAGAAGGAGGGAGGAGGAGGAGGAG